CCCCTTACCCACCTTTCCTAAACCTAATTTTGATTTTTGGGAGCAGGACATCAAAATGTCTCACTAACCCCTTCCGACCAAAAGTAGGATAAAACAAAATTTTAATTGCCAAATCACAATATGTCTTTAGAAATGAAACTGGAGAAGGGGAAAGAAAATTTCACCTTGTAGCATCAGGAAGATGGTATTTAATTTTATTTGATTTGCTGCTATAACCAAAAACTATATTAACAAATATAACCAAATATATATTAACTGTGTCCCTTGCCTATTCTTTATGATACATTTTTCACACAACGTTTTCTTTGATTCTTTTTCATGAGAATTAAACCCGTGTGAGTGGTGCAAATGGCCAAGACATTTGCATCAGAAATTCAACTATTTGAAAGTACAACACCAAAACACCCTTGTGTCCTACAGTAAAGGAAAAAGGAGCACTGTTGACAAACAGGAAAGCAGAAGAGGTTATGGAAACTAAGGACATCACAGACTCCTCCAAGCCACTGGGCAAACAGTCACAGACACAGTAAAGGACACATGGCATCAAATTTTCCTGGTGGCAGCAGGAGCTCAGACAGTTCCCAAAAAATTCTGGTCACTGAGGCAGCAAATCCCTGTTCTGAGTAGCACTGAGATAAACATTCTCATCACACAAGAAAAGTCATGCCTCTAGCCTGGGGGAGACATGGAGAGAGGCCAGGCTACATTTGGGAGTGTAGTGGGGCAGCTGCCAGAAGAGATCCTGCTGCAGCTGCACAGGGGATAATGGAAAATGCTTCTTTGCCCCAACACACTGGTTAGGATTTGCTTTAGAATTTGCCTGTTGGCAAACAGCAGGAGTAATTATGTTTACCATGGGCTACTAAATAGCGACTACCCTCAAAATACAAGGCCTTTTTAAAACCAAGTCTGGACAGAGAGGAAGCTCCCTCTCCTGCCCACATGATTTGCTACACATTTCCAGTTTAAATGTCTCATATGAATGTACACTTTTACACAGTTATAATAATTTTTAATCATCTGAGATTGATTTAGTCCCACTTTTTAATATGTTCTTTATATTCTACATCCTCGTATAGATTGGTGGCAAATTGCTGCAGTTAGAAAATATGTTACCATAAATTTTGAGGCAGGGCAAAGAAGAGTTAGCAGCTCTTCAATGGGGTTATAAATACACACTTTTCTACGTGCTTTGAATATCACAAAAGGGTAGAACTAGTAATTTTGGCCAAGGGAAAGTTTATAACAACTGGGAGACGTGTACGCACTTCAGTATGCTTTGTTCAGTTCTGCCCTGATGCCCAAGTAATGTCCAGGCTCAAGTGTTTTACTGACTCAACTAACAGTTGTGGGGCTCTCTTTAATGAGAAAGATGGTGAGATGTTAGAGATGCCCCAAGAGGGAGCAGAAGGTGCAGGAGTCCCCCAGTGCAGAGCCATCACCCCGGGGTCCATTGGCTGAGCTGTACCAAGCAGACCAAATGCAGTGACATGTTGAACTGGCTGTGTTGCTTCTCCTTCTTGCCCTGTACTGTTACTGGTGGCTATTAAGGACCTTTATACAAATAGGTTTGTTATGGCATCCCATAACAAAGGCAAAGATACACTCAGTGCTGCCCACTGGCCTGAGCTACTCCAATGATTTTAGCTCTCCAGAAGGCTGAGCTGTGTGATCCTCCAAGTATTTGGTATTTGCTCAGTGGAAATATTCAACCCTTATATTCTAAGTGAAAAATCAGGGGAGGAAAAGATTTTATTTTTAATAACATTCTGTCAAACCTAAACACATATGGGAACACAACAACTTTCTGGAACAAAGTTTTCTTTAGAAAACTGTTCATGCCCCAAAGGCCTGAACATAGATAAGAAGACCCTGATGATCATATCAGGGTAGCTGCCTGGGAGGAGGTAAGCCCAGTGTCCAATAGCAATTCAGCCCCCATATCCTAGGCAAGTAACCCAGCACTGTTAAGTCTTCTGGTATAGCTTCCATCTCCCAGCAGAAACCTTTAAAATACCCTGGTTTCTTATCTGCTTGGACTGGGAAAGCTTTCTGAAAACATCAGTGCTCCCACTCACCTTGTGTCAAAATGCCCAGAGATCATTAAGAAGCCATAGGAGGAGCCACTGGTCATCAAATTTATTGGGTTTTTGTTTGAATTTGTTGTGGGGGTTTTTTTGGTTTTTTTTTTTTTTTTTTTTTTTTTTTTTTTTTTTTTTTTTTTTTTTTTTTTTTTTTTTTTTTTTTTTTTTTTTAATTCTCACAGGACTATATTGAAAGAACATGACTGCACTTTATAGTCTAGAGACTTTTAAAGGACTGAAGCAGCAGCACAAGAAGAGAGAGTAGAACACTGAGGGGCAAAGAAAGTCCTTCTATCTCTGCTGTTAAAATCCCATGTCTAAACAAAGCAGGAAAAATGTGGGAGTAGCTTGGGAAAAAGAGCCAATATAATTCAAACATTTTGCACTTTCTCAGATTGGTGAGCCCTACTTAGTTAACACTTCCACAGGGTGTTAACCAGCTCCAAAGATAATTGTTTCCTTCTGAAATGAGAAATGTTGCAGGGCAAATTTCTTTCACCTCCTGCCATATATCTCCACAGTTTGCTAATTTGAGGTGGAAGCAATGGCATAGCACACTACCAGTTCTTGTTGGGACCATAGATTGATCCTCATTAGGAGATAACAGGGACAAGATTTCCAGCTTGGTCTTTTGAGAAACACCCACTAAAGGAACTATTGAAGTTTTCATGCTAAAAGTGGTACAAGACAGCTTTCCAATAATGATTAGAATCAAGAGGTAAAAAGAGGTAAATACTTATATTAGCAGTTTATAACACAAAACCAGAGTGCCTCCTCTCATTTTCTCAAGTCCTTATCTCCTCAAATAGGGACTCTTGGAAAAAAAAAATCAAATAAAGGTAGAAAGCCAGTGTAACTAAAACCACAGAAAAGTGATGAGATATTTGAAAAAAAATGTTGCAATGGATAAATAAAAATTTATAGGGATATTCAAATATTCATATTCTTCTAGTGCCATTGTTTCTAGAAAACTCCTCTGTGAAAGGAAAAGCTTCCCACAAAAGTGAGAAACCATTTCTCCTGAAACAGAACTGTGCAGGTAGCAATGCTTACGCATTTCAGCTAATGGAATATGTTTTAATTATCCAAACTCACCCACAAACTAAATTCTCCAAATTATAGATAATTTAGCAAGGTCATGAGAAGGCAGCCAGCTGAATTTCAGCTTTTTCTTTCCAAAACATAGGATACAATATGATAGAAGTATCTGTAAATATTTTTGGGTTTCATACAGAAAGGATCAGGAGTCATTAAGGGATATTTTAAACACACTAATACAATCTTTGGGTATTCTACAGAAAGATATTTTGCAGAGGTTCTTAGACGAGCAGTAGGATGCAGAAAATTGCCATCATACCAGGATCCTTAATTTGAACACAAACTCTTCACCCCTCTCTGGGTTTAATTATATTTCTTTCCTCCACAACAGCATGGGTGAAAACTTCAAGTAGTGTATTCTCATCACAATATGAGATATCCACACTTTCTGATGATGCAGATTTGTGTGTGTAATGTGTTTGTACATATATATACATGAATACATGTGCATATACATACAGACAAATGTGCAACTGTGTCTTGTGTGTGTGTCAATTAGTATTTGTGCTTTTCCCTTCAGTTTAGGTGAAGTGCAAACTGAAGAAGTTGATAAGTCAAAGCACTGCACAATCACATACATTTTTCTTGCTGCTGCTAGAACACAGCCACAGCTGGAGCCTGTTTCTGCTGGGGACCTACCACTTACAGGCCTGTGGGATGCATGACTGAGGCCTGATAACTCACATCCACATGCCCAGTCAGGGCTCCAGACCCATCTGCTCACCCTCTGCCTTTTGGCTGCTGGGCGGTGGCAGGTGTTGTGCAAAGGCTGCTGTTTTGCTCATCTCTGAAGGAAACTACAAAAAAATCACATTAATATGAGAGATTTTATGGATCTGGTTTCTTCAGTGACCACAATGTTTTTTTTCATACCTCAAAAGAGATAATTTAACTCCCCAAGCAGTGTAGAATTAGTAACATTTTAATGGCATCATCCAAAAAAGTATTAGGTATTTCTAAAAAATTTTGGACAGTATACCACTATCACTCTTCTCCAAAACTGTAATTGGAAGACAATATTCTATGTCAACCTAAATTGGCAAGCTCCTGTAAACAGCTTATGGCTGACACAAAACCCAAAAATAAAACAACATCTTCACAGTGAGTATAATAGTTCAGTGACTTTAATTTGGCATAGCTTGGGTGGATTGTGCTCTAATTCAGCTTATGCTTGGACCTAATCCATGAAGAACATGGTACATGGCAATTCTGAAATTTTACAATGTAGGCTCATTGTGAAATGAGCTATGGACTAGCACTGTACAGCCTTGCTGCTTCTTACTGGGACTAAACCCACAGATTTTTTGCCCTAATTTGCTCTGTAGTGTCCAATCAGATCCTCCATGTCAACTCTAGAATATTTTGAGCATTATGTCTATTTGTCTGACACTTTCTTTTTTTGCCTGGACCACATCTGGGTCTGTGAGGGAATGCTTTGCACTATGAGATAGAGGTTTAGGGTCTAGAGTCAAGCCATAACAATACTGTCATAGAGCTGTTTATTTTCTGTTTAATTATTTTTATTTTTTAAAATTAATTTTGAGTTAATTTTACACTTGGCTGGCAAATGGGTTAAGGGAAATGACAGCTGCCAGACTGAAATATTTGCTATTGTGTCATGATGATAAGCACTGCAGTTGGTCATTCCACCACAACCCCAGTCAGCCCTGGAGACTGCCTTTATCAGGATCCAAAATGGAAAACCTTAAGATGCGTAATAGTCACAAGATGAATTTTGACAAATGTTTATATAAAGTACTCAGTCTGAAAAGATGAGCCACTCATTCCAGCACCCAACAGCTGAGACAATACAGCACATACTTTATTTCATATATGTTGAGGATGGGAGGTCCTCTTGCAATGCCCATACAGACACCATCACCATTCTAGAGGAATTGCCTACAAACTCTACACCTTGTACATAAATTTAAATATGAGTTGCTAAAGATCAGGACACAGCACCACTTGTGACTTTTCCTTTGACATAAATGCCAAAATCTTAATTTCCTGAGTTTTCTGCCTCAGTAATGGTTCCTGTTCCAAATAGACTGACATCAATTATCCAAGTGCCCATCCTACTTCTGCTCAACAGTCTTCTGCTGCAGATGGTGCAAATGACCTGGCACATGCAAAATCCAGTATGTGACTCTGGAAGACTACCAAGGCAGAGCACAGACCAAATATAAGGTACAGTGGCAGAGCTCTCTGGAGGTCTTTGCCCATTTCCAGCATGTCTGACCTCAGACAGGGCTATCAGCTTTCCACTTCTACAGGAGCTGTGCATGCAAGTCTTTGCACCTCATGCCTGAATAACTTGGAAAGTCCAGACAGACTGCCTGAAAATAGGATTCCAGATGAAGAATCAGGCACATGGCCTGAAACAAATGTTAACTTGACATGGCACTCCTTTTCTCAAAGTGCTTTGGAACAATTTCTTGAGCAGAAAAAGTACAGAAATTGCTATCAAGGTAACATCACAATTACTATTTCATTTTAACTTGTCAGCAGCTTACTCCTTCAAATATTTAGAACTTTTGAGTAAACTCAGCTAACAGTTCCTGTGAGACACTGTGACTAAAAATCACAGTGCTTGGCACACCAAAGCCCAGTGCAATTTCCCTGATACTGATCACCTTCAGAAAACACAGGAGTTAAATTAAAAGGCTGAAATATTCCTGAGAGCCTCCAAGGTGCCCACGTCCCTTTGCAAGGCTCAGCACTGCAAATTCTATTTTCCTTTGGGTATTCACATATTTTCCCGAACACAGAGTTGAAGCGTGCTGCACAGCTCATAAAATATATTACAAACCAGAGTCATCCAAAGAGGAGAGGCGTCCTCTAATTGCACCCTTCTCCCTTTTGATAAATCTTCATCAGCACCAGCTTCACAGAGAGAAATTGTGAGGCCTGTACTGTGGGCATGTTCTTCAGTGGCGAAGTCTCAGTCACTCTTGGCTGAACATCCTGATAGTTAGGAATAGTCAGTACAGAGCAGGTACTGATAGCACAATAGAAAGGGAAAAAAGCAGCACCTACAGAGACTTCATAGCTACTGTCATCCATAGTCATTGTTAAGGCTCAGGAAAAACTCAGAAGAATGAGAGAAAAATCTGTGTTGTTGTTCCCAGCACTACTTTTTACTTATATGCAATGCTGGAAGCTCACTTCAAAGTATTTCTGTAGGCACCAAAATAAAATTCTACTATATGTTTGTGAAAAGTTTCAAACTACAAAATATAAACATACCTTAAAAACAATATTCCCTCTACCATGAAAGATTCTAAACAGTACCTATATTTCTTCCAATTTTTTTTTTTTTTTTGAGGTACACAGTTATACAAAGTAGGATTTTGCTGCCGGGAAATGAATTTTTCAGGATTAGTGAACATGTACTGGTCACAGTGTTTTTATTGATTTAAAATAGCAGTAAGAACCCTTTCTCTTTAGTTAAATTTGAAATAGTAAGTTTTTAGTAATTCTGACAGTGATTCCATTTTGCTTTCTGTTCTGTTGCATTATGCCTCCACACTCATCAGAGTTCTTTGGGCTGAGTTCCTGGTTATATTTCAGTGTTATATTTCTGATTACCATGCTTTAAGCAAAAGCAATAGGTTGTCCAATTTAAAAAAAAGTATATTTGAAGAGAGAGACAACAACAGGACAGCCACCGTATGGGCAACATAATGCATTTAACAGTTACAGTACTTATCATAAATGATATTATTGACTGATAACAAATAGACTATGTTTTAATTGATAGAACAAATAAAACCACTCTTCTGTCAAATTAAACTCTGGCAAATAAGTCCATCAGCCCTTTCAAAATACAACTTAGGAAGATTAAGGTTCATGTTCCAGATGGTCCAAAAATACCCACTAAAAGCTTCCAGTTATGCTTGAATTAAGAAGCCACTATACACATCTACAAATTTGACACACTATGAATTAAGCACACAATGATGGGGAAATGAAAAAAACAAGGATATGAAAACCAAATTGGTAATGTTCCTCTGACTTTAGATATCTAATTTTAACACTCAAATTATAAGGATAATTTCCCATGGCATCTTTTATTATCAGGAAAGCAGGAATTAGTCCCACCACTTTCTGTTTTCTGGAGGAGTCTGTTCTGTGCTCTCTTCAGAATCCCATCTGGTCTGGCAGCTTCATCTAACACTTAAATGTGAACAGCAGAAATGATCCCGTAAGGCTTACAAGAACCATCACTAACAATGACTGTTTCAGATCATTAAATGTGTTACTGGTGGCTATTAAGGACCTTTATATAAATAGGTTTGTTATGGCATCCCATAACTCTGCTCTGCATTGCTTGAGAAAGGGACACTGGATCCCCAAGGAATTTTTTTTCTTCTTTTTCCTCAAATAATTGAAAATATCAGATAATTATTAAAGGAATTTTCAGAGGTTTGGCAAGGGGATGGAGACCAGAAGAGACTATTACAAGCAGTTTTACAAGTCTTCCATTTCAATTCATGAACCAAAGCTGTTCATTTTTGACACTATTGCCACAGATCTACCATTCAGATTTACAAGAGAGAGAAATTAGGTGTTTGTATTTTATAAAACTACGGAGAGAGAAAAAGCAAGACTAACAATTTAGCATTCCCTACTATTGAAACTACAAAATATACCCAGCAGAATAGAAAAATAAGTACACAAATGAAATAGGACACCCATTTCTACAGTTGTGGTATGAAGCAGTCACCAGGGATAACGATTGATGCCTAAATAGCAGATACAAACTTCACTCTGAGCTATATCCCTGATACATTTTTCTGCAAGCCCACACCTGATGGTAGTCCACATGATAGTTCAAAAGCCAGATATTAGAGATCTGATTCCATCTGGACCAAGGCTTCTTAATTTGCACAGACAATTAGCAAGTCTTCCCAAGGCTGGTGTGAAACAATGGCAGCTGGTCAGGAAATAGATGCTTTCAAACTTAAACAACACAAGTTCTCCCTAGAAGGGAATAAAATGAGGAAAAAGCAATCAGAAAATTATCAAAAGGGAGACACAGCACATTTTGTACATTTTGAATAGTAATTTGAGAAATATTTAAAAGGAATACTTTCATATTTTGAAAAAAGCTTGGGTAAAGAACTGTCATGAAAGAAACATTTCAAACAGCCATATTTGTTTCAGGGGAGAGGGAAAAAGAAAGAGAAATAATCCACTGAGGAACACAACAGGAAATGACAGTAGTCTTAAAAATGAAGTCCCTTTCCAAAACATGTCAAGGAAAAGACAACTAGAGAAGATATTAGTTGGAAACAACTCCTAGGAGGGAGCCAGGGAGTCACAAAGATTCATCTTTCTGCAGGAACAAGACAAAAAACAAGCAGAGAAACTCAAGCATAGTAAACTGCTAAATTAGAAATGTATTTATTAATGTGTCTGGTCTGAATGAAAAAAGGCATGAAATAGCAAGTGAAGTGAAGACAATGCACCAAACCATAGACATTTCTGACTATGTAAAGCCTGCAACATAACATTCATTTCTTATCATGAAGTCCAGAACAACTTAGCAAGAATATGAAAACTTTACCACAAAGTCTGATAGATGTTTTAGGATACAGAACAAATACAAACAGTATTTGATCTGGTCACATTGTCATACTTTTGGTTCAGGCTTCCTGAGGAGTCAAACCAGCATGTTTTAACAACTTGGAATAATTAAACACTTCCAATTTGGAGATCATTCTGTAGATTAGGGTGACACAAATGTTGATGTGAGCTGGGAGACAGAGTTAAGTGACCACAGACCTCAGGGCTGGCACAGATGTGACAGTGGGATCAGCTCTTCTTGACTTCTGTTTTGTACAAGTGTGATCAACACAGCAAAGAGCAGTTTGGGAAAAATTTTTAATGAATCACATTCTTTTCTCCTTAACAAAAACTAAAAGAATGTTTCCCTGTTTATGAACATCCTGCTAAACAACTCCTGCTGCCAAGCTACTCCCTTTAGCACTATCACTGATAAGACTTTCAGACTGAGGAAGAATATGAGCATAATGGACAAAGCTGAAACCATCCCCTTTTAAAGGTAAGAGATTTTTTATTTTTGCCATGGTCTTATATAGCATTCAGAATGTAGAGACTGAAAAAAAAATGGTTCCAAAAAGTTGCTCAAATTAACGAATGATTTTTCCGCTGCTTCCTTATGCAAAGTATACAGGGAAAATAATCCTTCTGCTCACTACTAAGCAAGGTGCTGCCTACCATGGTTCTGTTTTTAGAGCTTTGAACATTACAATGGACAGCCAACAGATAACCAGCAGTCAAATGAACTGTGCTTTGTTTTGAAAAGATCTTATACTATCATCAGAAGAAAATAATATTTTAAGGAAGGCAACCACAAAGACACTCATAAAAATATAAATAGACGAGAACACCATGCAAAAGAAGGTTTAAAGACCCCAAATTAGTTATCCGAAGAACAAGAGAAATAGGTATGTTTCTTTTGTGAGGCATTAGAGAATTTTCCTGCAACAGCCACTATTGCTTTTTTCCCATTCAGAAGTGCAAGAATGTCACCATGAAAAGAGCAGCAGTGGAATTCAAATTTAAAGAGAATGAGAACATTGCTTCCAGCTATTCACACTCATAATCTGTGAAATTTATGGCCTGAGAAGACAGCATTGAAATTAGCCATTTCTTCTTTAAATTGAGCTGAGAGTTCTAGGGCCTATGTAAAAACTTTATGCTTTTTTAATATTAAAATACAGGCAATCAAGAATCATAGTTGAAGACATGACAAGAGCAAAAGTTGTAAGACTTTTTTCTTCCTTGATTTATAAGAATTAGCCCTTCGCAAATCCAACACTGAGCACAAGTGGAAGATTTTGTCTTTTTTCTGCAAACTTCTTTTTTTTTTTTTTTGCCCTACTGTGATATTATATTCTTACTTTTTGTTATTTACGACAACAATAAATCCAGGCCAAAAAAGGAAAAAAAAAGCTCCACAAGCTCAGTAGACATTAAATGAAAAAGTATTGAGCTTCGCATGTCACAACTGAAATGCACATGGTTCCACGACCTAGGAAAATCAAGCTGGGAAGCAGAATGATCAATTTTATAGGGCACTGAAAAACTGCATTTGCTAAATTAGCCAAGGCTGTTGAAGCCAGATAGCTTTGAAAGAAGAAATTAATTCATTCTGATTACAAAAAGATGAAGCAATTTCCAAGCTCTATACAGCCTATTATTGCTAAATTTTGACTGAATTCTCAGTTGCAATGAAAAACTATAAGCAAAACCCTGTTGCTCTCATAGCTGTCAATTAAAATTTCAGAAATCAGAAGTTTCTGCTTGGTTTCAAACATAATTTGTATGTACATAATGAGTATAAGTAGTACTTCAAATGAATTTTTCCTAAATATGTAGTGGAAGAAGGGAAATATGTGACTTGGACAGGTTTTAATGAAAAAAAATTAAAGATGAAACCATAGCTGTACTCTCATGTCAGTCAGAATGCAAGAGTTTAGCAAGAGTTTAATTGAAGTTACCAAGTCCTGGAAGAGAAAAATTAAGAATAAAGAAAGAACACAGAAAGAAAAGGGACGAGCTGAAACTTAACTAGGAGCTTTCAAGTTAGACTGTGACAGCATTGTGACAAAATAAAAACCTGTGAGAAAAAAACAAAGGCAGCTCAGCAAAATTGTGGGTCATTCCATCCCAAGATGCCATGGAGTTTTACTCTTCCACATCTGACTGGAAGATGTTCGGCCATTGAGAGAAAACAGCAGAACAGTAAACATAAAATCTCCACCCAAAAATGATGGTCCCAGCTCGTTACTGTATATATTAATAAGAGATTATTGCTGTATCCTCCATGTGGTTTATGTGTAGTTTGTCTTGGCACAACAGAAAATGCCTTCACAGGAGTGACCCCAGGAGCTGAGTGTTAAAGCAAATGGAGTAGGAAGCTGTGCTATAGTTAAGAAATTAAATTAGTTTTTGTCATCAACAGCTGCCTTAGCAGTTTCTTTTGTATTCTACTCTTGAGTTTCGGTGCTTTGTACAAATAGCATCATGATGGCGGTCCAAGTTTGTGAAAGGTGGTGTTGAGCCTGCTGCCAAGGACATTTGCATACAAGTACATTTGGCAACAGTTTCACTCCAGCTAACACTTATGCAACACAATTTGGTTTATTATTATCAAAAATTGTAATGAGCCTCCTCCTTACTCCCCCCACCACACCACACCCCCTTCCAAAAAAGAAGCTGGTTATTAAAAATGAAAAAAAAAAAAGATCACCGAGTAACAAAACTATAAAGCTTAGTGAGCCATATAGTCCCTAGAATCAAGAACCATAAATAGTTCAAAAATTCTAGTTTTCCTAATGGTTGGATATTGAATGAGTAGAAGCTGAGGGAGAAAAGCCAGAAATTATCAACCTTTAGACAATTTCTAAAAAATTTTTCCTATAAACATAATATGGAAAGTATCTTTTTACCTTTTAAGGTCTATGCTGACTTGATCTACAGTTGTATTCTGCATCCAAAGCTGCTATTTCTGAGAAAAAAAATATTAAAAATAAGGTCAGGTAAGCCAACATGTATGGTTTGCAAAATGTTATCTATTCACAAAGTTGTCATTTGCAGCAGAGTGTTTTCTAAGTCACCTTTACCAGTGAAAATGAAATTAAACTATAAATTAACTAACAAACATCTGCAGATCTGGAAACCTTCCAATAAGGCAGAAAAAGCAAAACTCAGAAGCCCTAAGAATTCAAGGTTTGGGAGCAGTTGTACGTTTCTCCCCTCGAGGTAAGACACCTAAAGAAAGACAGACACTGCTCTTCTGTTCAGGTCTCAGTATCTCAGGAAGACAGTCATGGTCTTCTGAAAGCCACTTCAGCCCTGGACTGAGCTTCTTGACTCCTCAGCAGCACCCATGTGATACCTTGTGATGCCTTTTGCTCCACACACACATTTACAAATATTTGAGAAAAAAAACACAGTGTTCTTTGGCAACTCAACACAAGAAAATTTTCCACTATTTTGTCTAAAAAATGTGTATCTTTAATCTGAGGGTGGTCAAATCGTCTAAGTCTTGCATTTGGGACTGGGGAAGATTGTTTTGGTTTTGGTCAGGAACAGCAGTAAAAGAGTCTTTTGTTTCCCTGTTTTCTAGGTCAGGCAAACAAGCGCTGCAATTGCTGTGGTTAACTGCTGTCTCAAGCTGGTTTATTTTAGGTATTCCAAGACAGCAGGGCTAGTCTCATGTAATTAAGCAAAGAAACTGGAAGTCCTTCTTTGGGCCAAACTTACTGCTTCTTCACATCTCCTGGCTGAGTAAAGAAAGCTCTCAGAAATCACATCTTCTCCTCTCTCTCTCCAGCATGCTGCCATCCTTAGCTTTTCTCAGCTGGTTCCCTCTGCAAGTCCTTTAGTGAGAAGGCAGCACTATAGGTTTTTTGGTTTTTGTTTTTTTCAAACAAACAAGCCCAACTTCTCTCCCAGAACACTAGGGAGCCCTTTTGCCTTGCTGCATTCTTGAAGTTTACCAAATCATAAAGTTAAAGCAGAAGAAAAGCCTCTCATTTAAAAAGCCATAGATTTTGCCATAGTACTTTCTATTAAAACATACTTTGTGTGTAGAAGTCCTGAAAAAATCTGAAGTTCCCTAGTAAAAAAATTACCTGGTTTCTGCTCATTGGAAACCCTGTGACAGGGTATGTATTAACAGGATTCTAGAGGGCTCAGAACAGCCCCTCACAAGAACTAAGAGAGATAAGCTTTACAGCTGACTCTGAGGTTATCATCAAGCTTTTAACACTAAATTAACTCTAATAACTAATTAAGTAATTAACTGCAGCTCAGGTTATTAGTCCCACCGTCAGAATGTTTCAAAGTGGACTGTACCTTGCTAGTTTCACTCTGAGTGTACAAGCATTACAGAAATATATCATTATTAAGAACCGTGAGTTGCTCTGACTGCGGGGCTCCAGATATATCTGTGAATATCTGGTATTCACAGATAACAGAATTATCTATGATAGGCCTAGATTTTTCCTCTTTTTGTTAAGTGCTTTCTTAAGAACTATGCTTATAGAATGTCAAGACACACTTCTCTCCATGAACAGCTTATGTTCTCAGAGAGCACAGTAGTCAGACAATTGATAAACTCTGGCCAGCTCTTCCCATCAACTGCTTTTCACAATTAAAAAACCCACACACACCACCAGGAAAAAAACCCCAAAACCAACAAAACACCTGACCAACCAACAAAACCAAACAAAACCCAAAAACCTAAACAAACAAACAAGAAAACAAAACACCCCAGAAGAAAATAATATATAGTTAGGAAACTTTGACCATTTTTTCTAGGATATTTCCAACTTGTAACAAAGTCAGACTATGGATACATTCACAGAATTCCCAGAATGACTAGGTTGGAAGAGACCCTCAAGATCATTGAGTCCAACCCATGCCCCAACACCTCAACTAAACCATTGCACCGAGTGCCACATCCAGTCTTTTTAAACACATCCAGGACAGGTGACTCTACCATCTCCCTGAGCAGACCATTACAGTACTTTATCATTCCTTCTGTAAAAAACTTTTTCCTAATATCCAAGCTGGATTTCCCTTGACACAGCTTAGGACTTTGTCCTCTCATTCTGTCAGTTGTTGCCTGGAGAGAGAGACCAACCCCCCCGACTATACCCACCTTCCCACCAGGAAGTTGTAGAGAGTGATAAGGTCACCTCTGAGTCTCCTTTTCTCCAGGCTAAACAATTTGATCTCCTTGAGTGACTGCTTATCAGGAAAACAATAAAGGAAGTAATTTAGAGAACAGTATTAATCAATCCTTCATAAATCTGATTGCACTCACTGTTTGTTTTGAGATAACAGGCAACTTAGAAAACCTGTATTTTTTTCCTTCATTCATACAGCTTCCTACTTCATCAACCAATGGCTTCAATATTTGATACATTTATTTTAAATCTACAGCAACATCAACAGCTGCCTATTAATTTGGCAGATAAATCCTTACCTAAGAAAGACTTTCACTTTTCTCTGTTGTTTGTTTCTTCTTTTGTAAACTGGCAGTGTTATCACTGATACAGTAGTTACTGGCTGACATACCATCAGCCACTGAAACAGAAACATCCTCTTGTTTCAGTTCTTTCATATTCCTTCAGTTTTCATACAAAGAACTCAGAGCAGCAAATTGAGAAATACTGAAACAGCAGCAGAACTGCTAAAAGAACTGAGGTCTTTACTTTTTCCTCTTAGAATAATGATGATATGGTTAATAAAGCTCTTCATCCAATAATAAAGTCAAAACTAACATTGCTAATAGTAATCTCAGAAATATGTACTAAAGCAATACTTATAACCTCTGAATAATTTTAATCTTTTGTAAATATTTTTATCTTTTTAAAAATCTGTTTAAAAATTGTTACAGCGCATTTGATCTTTGGCCTTTAATCTTCAATGCTTAAATAGAAATAGTCGTCTTCAGTAACTAAGTAAAATGGAATGTTAGACAAGGTGAAACTCAAAGAAAAAAGTTTCAAACTATATTTTTAATTTTATTTTCTTCCTGTTTGTGCAAGTGCACTCATCTTTGTTTTCTCTAATAAGAGAAATTATTTTTGCCTAGTTGCTTATTGTCATGGTTCGACCCTGGCACAACGCCAGTGCCCCCATGAGAATACCCTCTCCCTGGTGTCTGCTGTGAGATGTGACCAGGAATAAGCAAAGCAGGCTCCTGCTTAGAAATAAAGAAAACTTTATTAACTAAACTACAAGAAAAGAAGAGAAAAAAACCACAAGGAAAATGAAAACCTTACAAAAGCATTTTCCTCCTCCCCCCCCCTTCAAATTTCCCAATGCAATACATTCCCCCAAATCACTAACTCTCAGTCCGGCACCACCCTTTAGAATATTCAATCTTCAGTTCATCAAGAGGAGAGGAGTCCTTCTTGCACCATAGGCTTCCCCTGGAAACACGCTGAAACCTCGTGTGCTTCCATGTCACTCAGCACCGCCCGGAAAGTCCTTTTGCCATCGTGACACCTTTCCTTCCATGCCCAGTGCTCTCACCACTGTGCATGGACCAGAGCTGCTTTTAGGGGTGTCTTTTAAGGATGCCTTGTCTCACTCCAAAAAAGGCACAGTCTCTCCTTTGGGACATCTGTCCCCCACAAATTTTTCCCCCCCTGGGGCCAAGGGGTACCCACACTGAACCCTCCTGGTTCTGAGGCACTGCCTCCCCCTAAATGCAGTCTCTGTGTCACAGGAAAAAAAATGGTTCAGTCTATGGCCACACAAGAAAAGTCCAACCAAAAGGCCACTCCATCATCTCTTCCCCCACTCAAGAGTCTTCTCCACTTCCCTCATGGCCCATTCCCTCTTATCTCATATCTCTCTTCCCATTCAGCTCCAGGAGGATCAGCATTTGCAAGGTCTCAATCATGCAGGAAAAGGGTTAAAATTTTCAGTCTCTGCCTGTCCCAGAGCTCCAGAACTCCCATGCTGCCCTGCCGGGCACCTTCTCGCCGCACTCCCCCCCCCTTCTCCTGGGCCAGCCTCTATCAAATTCGGACACCGGCTCTCTCTCTCTCTCTCTCCTGTGGGGGCCAGGGGGGGGAATGGCTGCCCTATGTCTCTTGGTGCTCCTCCATCCTTTCATCCTCAAGGGCCTCCTCACCCCCATCTCTGTCCAGGCCCAGGCCTACCGCAGGGCTGACCCTCCCCTGCCCAGCAGCAGCGGATGAACAGGGGAGGGAGACGCGACCTCTTCGGCTACATCAGGTGCCAATATTAAAATCTGAGCACCCATGGGTTTGACCACATCATCCCAGAATTCCCATTTCCTGGTCAAACCAGCACACTTGAGTCTTCTGTAATATAAACCCCAGATTTTTGATATTAATTTGTTTCCAGTCTCTTCATGCAGAGATTTGGTTGCATTACTCTGCTCCTTTGGTAGGCCAAGTAAAAGCACAGTTCTTACAATCATCATCACACTTATCTTTCAAAAAATCCCAATGCTTTAATGTGAGGAGAACAACCTCAGGCCAGCACTCCTTCCTATCCTTTTCTGAGGTATGTGAGAGAGGGAGTCTTGGGAAGTTTAAGAAACAGTGTAAGCAGCACTGTGTTGTCAACTTCACAGAGTCAAAACAACTATTTAGCTACTTCTGATTTTCCAAAAGCCCGATAAGTACATCCTCAACAGTTTCCCAGTGTTTTCTGCAAGTAGCCTTCATACATTCATATACCCCTGCTGCCAACTTCCAACAAAGGGGCTACATTCTGGCGCCTGGAACACTGAGAAAAAAATTGCTGCTTATGAAGTAGCTGCAGCTTTAACAAGACAGCAGACAAGTATCTTCTGCCCTTGCTACACTTTGTACTCCTTGTTTTGACAGCTTTTTAGGAAAAACTCTCACTGCCTTCCCAGACTTCTTTACTGACTTCTATTTCATGAACTTTTTACATACATTGTATTCTGTGTTGCAACGAGTAAGTAAGAAGAAAGCAGAAGCATTATAACTC